ATTCAAACAGAAAACTTGAAATTGTAATAATCTCACAACATAGCAGTTTTTTTTATAAATGTAGACTTTGGGAGCATAAAAGACTTGAAAAGCAATCCTATAAAAAAATAAATAAATAAAAAAAAGCTACCTTTTAAAAGTTCTTTAAAAAAAAAAAAAACATAATTTAATTAAATTATTCAAAATAAAATATGGTGGGAAAAATCTGAACTACTGAAAAATAACAACAACAACTTGCTGCCCTGAGTGATATAATACAAACTTGCTTGATTATTGGACACACCACTTCTAGAACATTCTATTAAAGTGGCACTGCAAAAAGTCAAATTTTATTCTTAAGGAAACAAGGTCACAAAAGTAAAGTCATATTGGATCAAGCAGAAAGTTTGCATGGCAGTGTGTCCAATATGAACACATTTCCCCACATTCTTCAAATGGAAGCACATATGCCTATCTGGCTCGGAGAGACTCAAAGAGAGGAGCTAATAGTCTCAGCTGCTCCTCTAAGAGAGAAACAACAGCCTTAACACATTAACAGTCCGTCCCTTATTTATAGTCCTGATCTTATACAACTCCTGTTGATATCCGTCCCTGCCATTGGCCGGTTTTCTCGGCACGGTGCGGAATCAGGGGGCATCTGCGTGCTCGTTAGAAAAAGCCCAGTGCTCAGCTGGCACATGTTTGGGGTGGTGACTTGCATGCTGAGCTATTTCACCCTCCCACCCACAGCACATGTTTCACAGTGTGACCAACAGGGCCGCTTCCCACCTCCAGATGGCAGCAGTGAGTCTCACAACGTCCAGGGCAGCGATAGACGTCATATGCACACCCGCACATGCATTCACACACGCTTATGCATGCAAGCTCATTCTCTTCCCTTCTGAATGAGACGTAGAATCTGAGCGTATTACCAACATCCGTCCCATTTATGTAACCTACGCAAAAGGCCACTTGTTTTACATGTCAGGAGTAGTGGCATCTGCATGATGATCTGAGAAGGGGAGAGTCATTCTCTCCTGTTTGGTAATACTCTCAGGAAAGGCATGAGAGAGAGAATGGCAGTTACACAAACACAAGTGCAGGCCAGGGTCACGATAGTACACAGTTCATCTTAAGGTCATATTATGCTAAAAGTGCTGGCAAAGTTTACTGAGCAATCTAGTCAATGATTAGGGAGTGCTGCCCCATGATGTGCACTAAAAAGGAGGTTTTCCCATCTGGCCCAGTTAGTTCAGATTTGTACTGACAACATTTTTATGGTCCCTAATACAAATTATTATTTTTTAAATTTGAACTTTAAGTTAGTAGATTGTATCAGTTTTATTTATTGCATCAGTGTCAGAAAGTTTTCCTATACATTTGCCAAAAAAAAGAAAAAAAAGAAAACATACTGAACACATACATAAACATTTATTATAATAGCTGAAAAATATACAACTGTAAATGTAATATGTATTTTTAATACATGTAAATACTATTTCTTATTATATTAACAATACATATATAAAATATCTGAAAATGTAATTATATATATATATACACACACACACACACACAGACACTTGCAGCTATTACAAATTATTAAATTTAAAATTATAATTATTTTAGAACTATAAAAATAATAAATTATTCATCTGTAAGTGTAATATATATATCTTTGTTTTGGCGTGCATCGGGTGTGTGATAGCTCTTGAGTTGAGTTAATACACTACCTGTCAAATATTGACATGCTTGAGTTAATTTAAGACATTTTTATAGGCAAATAATTGCACTAAATGAATTTCTTTACAAAACCTTAAACCTTAAAAGGTTGCATCTGTGAGTGAATGAGTGTGTGTGTATGTGTGTCAGTTTTCCATGAGGAATGTGTGCAAGGTGTGTTCATCACTCACCTGTCTGGATTGTAGAGCGTGTGAGTGTTTCGTACCAGGGTTTCCACACCGTATTCCTGTGCCATTTTAATGATGGCTGCATC